GTCCTTTATGTGCCAAAGAAACCTATGATGTGTTAAGATTACAGCAATTACTTAATATTCATGTTAAAATTGTAGTTGTTTGTCTTGGTCTCCTAAATTAAAAATAAATGATTAGCAGTAAAATAGTAAGCAATTATTATAATTTATGTGTACTGTTCATGAGTTGTCTTCTTTTAAATAGATCTATTAAGTTTAGGTTAAATAACAAATTAGATTTTAATATTTCAATTGAAATACCGGATACTTCATGAAAAATCGTACCAGTGACTTTTGTCTGGGAAAAAATAAAAAACTGACCTGACTTTAATTTTCCAATACCACTGCACCATTGCAGGGTCCACAGGGAGCAGTCAGGTGTTTGCAGATCATACCACCACTGGTTGAAAACTTCCTAACATTATCCTTTTAGTTTCTTTTTAACAAAATATGTAAAGTTTGGAGATAATGACTTATCTAGTTCTGATTAACTACAAAAGCAGTAATTGTTGTTATATATCAATGGATGTGGGTATCACTTTAATCACTTAAAATATTGTGCATGCTATCTTCAACAATGACCTTGTTATTTTGAAAAATTTCAATGTTTTTGTAAAATGGGTGTCACATGTAAGTCTGCATTTATTTGTGTTAAGTACAAAATGTCAGTTAACCTTTTTTTCTTTTTGTAGTGCACATTTTTTGTTTCTTGTGGATTAAACTGATTTGAATGTTTAGTCAACAATCATAAATCAGTGTACTGTTAACAAATAAAAAAAATGAGAGTTAGTATAGTCAGTAATTTTCTCCATCACAAGTTTGTTTTAGTGATTTTTTAAACTCAGATATCAGCAGAAAAATGTTTTTATAGTGACAAAACAAATAGATAATTAATCAAATGATTTGTAGAGAAAAAAGGAAATCACTTATTAACATTTTTTTGTTATTATTGTTAGAAATATAATTTAATAATAACTATCAACAACTTATTAGTTGCATTTATTTTTCGCTTATAATCACAATAATTTTCAATCAATGTAAGATCTTGATATCTGATAATTTTTGTTTGGTGTCTTTCACTTTATCATGTACATAAGATATTTTTGGTGTGACTGTTAATACTATGATACAGTATGATACATTGCATAATTACTTATAAGAAAATTTTGAGTTATGATTTTGATCCACTCTGCAGTAATGAGTACCTGACAAAAATTGAGAGAGTAAAGTCTGATAGCCAAATACTGACCATATACTAAATTCTGAGGAACAGGCACATATAAACTATTCTGATCAGGTATTGCATTTTTATATCAAAAGGGTGCTTTTTAAAAAAAAAAAATTGATGTGTTTTTTATTTGTCTTTACCACATGCAATTTGTTTTTCTATTTTGTTTTCTAATGACGGGTAATATAAATAGGATTAAATAGCTCCAACGAAAGCTGAAATCACTATCTGATTAGATGTTAATATGTTTTGTAACAACCCAAACTTTAGTCCTTTTTCTTCAAAGTTGATAGTTAAAAAAGTCAATTCATTATCATATATGTAATTACGTGTTTGCTTTCCATTGGCGTATTAAAGCTTTCATTTTCATACATTTTAAAATTAAACAAAATATTTTTTGCAAATCAGTTTTGTGTTGATTTTCTAATATTGAAGCAAAAAATCTCTTTGCTCTTAAGACTTTAATTTGTTACTTTGAAAACATTGTGAAATAAGCCAGTTAGCTTTAAATTCAATTTTTTTCCCCTTTAGTTTTATCGAATTTAAAATGGATTTTGTCCAACTCAGTTATTGAAAGTGTTAACCAGAGATTGCTTAACAAATATTTGTTCAGAACATGTAAATAAAATTAGCTTTCAATTGTTCTTTTTATTTTCAAAATTTTCATAACATTTTGTTACTGTTTATTTTGTCTTAGGTCTAAATTGTCCTTATTAACTGTTGTGAAGCAAATGGCAATTTTTAGAGACTTTAAGTATAGATATAAAAGCTTTAGTAGTGTTGTAACCGACCCAACAAGTAACTTTAAAAAAAAACTTTTTATGCTAAGTAATTCATCAATACCGCAGAAATTATTTCACACAAAATTTGTAGGTTAGTAGCTTGTAGCTATACTGAGGATAATGTGTGGTCTAGAATAGTAGTACTGTCGAATAAGTTGTGTCCCCTGCTCAACTGACAACCATTTCAGTGCAGTGTATGGTATCTCTGACTTTCACCCAGAAACACAAATAACATTCTACAAGTGAGATATTTATTATGTAGTTTACTACTACACACATTTCACTTGTTTCTACTAAACCAGTGTATTTTAAAATTGAAACTAAGGTGAAGCTCATAGGGTAAATGCAAAATGTCAAGAACTATGACATAAAATGTTGTTAAATTAATTTTAAAGAAAATTAAATGTTGCCACACACAAAGAAGTATAACAGTGCATGTAAAATGATATTGGATTGTCTGAAGAAATTCTTAAGAGTTATAGATTTAAAGTTAATAAAACAGTAGTGATCTCCCCTAAACTTTCTCGAATATTCTTATATAACGCTACAGGAGATGGCAAATCGGGATATAGACATGATTTTTAGTTAATTTTAAATTACTTAGACTTTTAAAAATAAAATAGAATCTCGTCGAAAAAAGCGCTCCAAATGAACAGCAAACTATGTATAATAATGCGCAATATTAGTATGAATTATTGTGCGTTTTTTTTATAAATCGGAAATAGCGTAAAGTACTACTTTCGGTCAAAGGAAATTACTCAAAATATTAGAGAAGGCAGATAATTAGATCTAATACTTATATGTAAAATGTCGTTTATCTATCTGAAACAGTACTCAAATGATATGGTTTTGAAAGACCAAAAGTTGAAAAAGTTCCGGTTATTAGAACAGTTAATACAGAACTAAAAAATTGATTATATTATATATGAAATTTCATCAACCTAGCTGTAACTCAAGTTATCGTGTTTACATACAGACCCACGTACATATGGAAAAAATGGTAAAACTACGTATTTCCTACTTAGGGAGTTGTAAAAAGTCTAGGTTTGTTAAAATCTCGATTTCGATTTTTGCACGATTACAATTTTCCTCTATATTTCGTAAACGAGAAAGTAAAAACGAACGCCAAACAAAAATGGTTTGTTTTATTTGTAAAGCTCATTATTACAATTATCAAGCTAAGACTACACACATTAATGCAAAGGTATACAAACATTTAAAAATCTTAAAGATGCTTTAAAATTAAATACAGATATATGTCTGAAGGAGTAGTTACATGTTCATTGGCTGTGGCGAAGGCTGGGAGATGTTAGGGTCAGTGGCGTAGCTGGGGGGGGGGGGTGCGGACCGCACCGGGTGACACCATTTAGGGTGGGGGTGACACCAAAAATATGTAGAGAAAAATTATAATTCCCCTTAATTAAGTGATTAATTCGAGTGTTAAATAGTCTTTAAATAGCAAATTTGACAAATCCCGTCAACGGTGGTGGAGGGGAGTGGGGTGCAAATCGAAAGTATGAGTGGGGGGGGGGGGGGGTGCAAATCGAAAATTGAAAGACGTGTCCCCGGCGGCCGGGAAAGGTCGCTACGCCTCTGGGGGGTGACACCATTAAGTGCCGCACCGGGTGACACCCGACCTCGCTACGACACTGGTTAGGGGTAATTATAACATCTGTAAAAAAAAGTTTCCATTCATCACTTAGATCTACCAAAAGCAGAGAAGCACACTTAAATTGCCGCGATTTCATCAGATCTACCAGTTTACTTTAAAATAAAGTTTAAATGCAGGCCTATACATTTGTGTGCCAGGTTAAACGTCTCGTGTCTGTAATGTGAAATGTAACGTAGACCCGACACCTCTATCCATACACCCCCGAAGTCCACACACGGCCGCAAATTTCGAAATATTTCGCTTCCATCTCCTCGCTCACCAAGCAGTGTGGACTTTATAAATGAATGACACGACCTGACAGCTATTAGCAACGGTACGTTCCTGTGGCTTTATGTCGTCAATTTCAAAAGTTTGAATGTCTTTAAAAAAATACGATCTTTAAATTGTTTTGTGGATCAGAAAAAAAAACAAATGTACATGCCCCCCCCCCCCCCTTTCCAGTAATCATTTCCAAGCTACGCCACTGTTCATAAACATACAGCTATTTCTATTTTACAAGATAATGTAACAATTGTTTACGTTTTTCTGTCAGTGTTTCTTTCAGACATTTTTCTCTGGGGGTGCACTTGAAACTTTCGGGGGGTGGTGGGGGCTAATATTTCCTAGGTGGGGAGGGGAAGGTGGATACTAGTAAAAGTATATATTTTCTGCATAATTCTATTTCTCACTTGTGAGGAAGGTAGGGAGGGGGTGAAGGTGTTTTGTCAAAAAAAAAGATGTCTGAAAGAAACTTTAAATATTAGCTCAAAAACAGATCCCATATAACGCCTGGTTCAAGATTATATTATGTTACCAATACCAGGTATTTCATATTTAATAATGGACTTGCAATATATAATTTCCTGTTCCGATCCACACTTTGCGACCGACTTGTTATTTCTCAACAATTATTTCTCATCGCCAAATAAACCCCTTTTAATACAAGTAGAATGGCGATTTTAATTTAGCATTTAGTGGGAATGCCGAAATAGATAAAAAAAATAGTTCCTTCTCAAAGTGCGCACTATAACAGAGGCAAAATGTGAATATAAATGAAACAAATTCAAAGTTAAATTTGAAAATATAGGCTTTAGAAATAATTGCAAAATGAAATTAAAACTGTTAGTAGGATATGTGTAAAGCGTAGTAAGAAAGATTAGAATGAAGTGAATAGTTTTACTAAGACAAAAGAAAATTCGGCTCAGCAATTTGCCAAATCTAAAAAAAATACTTATCCACGTTTAAATACTTTTTCATAGCCATACTTATACATTTAGACATATATATATATATATATATATATATATATATATATATATATATATATATATATATATATATATACTATTTTATTATTTGTGGATTACAGACTGGTCGTGATCTCTTCATAGTTATCAAGTACATCAAAGTAAGTCCCTTCCGTTTCTTCTGAGGTAAACATTTCTTTGTGGAGTAATTCAAGCAGGTATTCCCAGTCATCTAGAGGCTGAATGTATTCCATATTTTCTGCTATAGCTAAGCTCTGTCCGTCAGTCTCATCCGCAGCATCTACATAAAGGAATCTGCACTGTGATACAATCATTTCCACATCTAAAGATTTTTTCTCCAAACAAATACCTTGTGCTGCATTTTGAGTGTTTGGTTCTCTCTGGGTGTTGTCGGAGTTCATGAAAGTGTTGTTGCTCCCAGAATCTTCTCTCTGGTTTTCTCTCAATATTTGCAACTCTTCTATACAATCTCTGCATTCATTATTCGTCGGACTAATCCGTCTCGAAAGTGACCGTAGTAGCTCCTCGAGAGATTGAAAATTTGGCCTGAGACCTGTATCAACTTGCCAGCAGGATAATAGAACCTCGTACCTTAAGTGGACAGAACATGGTATAGATAGTTTGCATTGTACCAGAATATACAGTACATGTGACCATTTTACAATTCAAACTAAAAACCTCATACTTTTCCATGGCAAAAGAGATCAGTTAAAATAAACCGGGAGTGATCTTCCCTAAACTTTCTCGAATATTCTTATATAACTTGGAATATAGACATGATTTTTAATTACTTAAACTTTTAAAAATAGAATAGAATCTCATAGAAAAAAGAATTGCGCACCAAGCGAGCACAAAACAAATGTGCATAATAGTGCGCAATATTATTAGTACTTTATAATTTTACATGCGTTTTTTGAGAAATCGGAAATAGCGTAAATTAGTACTTCCGGTCAACGAAAATTACTCAAAATTTGAGAGAAGGTAGAGAATTAGATCTTTTAGTTAAATATGAAATTTCATTTATCCATCTCAAATAGTACTCAAGTTTTAGGCTTTTGAAAAATTCAAAAAAGAAAAAGTACCACTTCCGGTTATCGGAAATCGCTCAAAAGTTGATACGGATCAACGATTTTGATAAAATACTTATTTATGAAATTTCAGCAACCTAGCTGTAACGGTACTCAAGTTATCGTGTTTACACACACACATACACACAGACAGACACTTAGTCATACGGACAAGATTGCAAAATTATGTTTTTCCGTATCAGTGAGATGTAAAACGTCGAGATTTGTAAAAATCTCGTTTTTTTGTGCACGATTACAAGACTTTCTCTATACTTCGTATATACGAGAAAGTAAAAATGATATCCAGACTGGCCCAATAGACAACTTTGGTAAAGTAACAGATAACTCAAAACTTAGACTTACAGCCTGACTGGGCAGAAGTACGGCCTAGCCAGACGACTGTGCTGTAGATAGCCGCGGACTTCAGAGTTCTGTAGACCAGGGTAGGGGATCAGCCCACGGGTCAACAACTCCCACATGACGACACCAAATGACCACTTTTAAGTAGAGTACATTATTTGTTTTATAAAATTAAACAACTATTATGGGCAAATTATAAATATAAGACAGTTAAAAAAACTCACAACGTCCGACTTAGTAGAGTAGCAGCCAACCTCAATACTTTCTGGAGCCATCCAACGTATGGGTAACATTGTTCTGTTGGTGCTGGTGTAGTAGCTAGAGCCGTACACTGATCGACACAGGCCAAAGTCTCCAATCTTAACACGTAGGCGATCGTCCAGACTATAGAGATACAATAGAACATGCGTTGCCACTTCTCGCCATATACATTACTACATTATATATTAAATGTAGGATCTACGGCAAGCTCTTGGTCCGTCGCTAAAGATTGCCGTTCTTTAAGATTTTCAAAACTCTCTGTATACTGAAGGTTATGACAAAATCTTACAGACAGTTTCTGGCAGCCAGATCTCTATGCACAAAGTTCTTGACACTGAGGTACGCCATGCCGCTAGCGATATCTGCCCCGTACTTCAAGACATCAGAGAACATCAGGCGCTAGATGTAGACGAAATAAAAAAAAATTTGGTTTATGTTAATGAACATGTGAACGTGTCGGCTGGATTCAAATTGTAAACACATACATTCAAAATGGGCATTAAAACATGTTTGTTTTAACTTCGAGAATTGCTTTGTGTATTAGATAAGTATAAATGTATTTTACGGGATTGAATTTAACGACATGTTCGAACGAGAATAATAGCAATAATAGCATTATTAAATATCTATCTATATATAAAATTCTCTACGTTGCCCAACACTAAGCACGCACGCGACTCTCTAACCCACCCCCCCCCCCCCCCCAGCTCTTCAGGCATGCGCAACAGTGTGCACCAACCCAACCCATTTGGACAACTGTGTCTTTCAGGAAATCTTCACCAGTCACTAAATAGCGGCGTGTGCTACGTCGCGGGTCGGCTCGTTTTAAAAAATCGCCCAAAATGCCTTACGTTATTATTAAACAATCCCTGAGGTTTTAATTTCGCATGTTTCTCACAACACCTACAGGACGTCTTTTAAGGACTACAAATAAATCTCACTAATGCTAAAAATCTGAGTTTTATTTTTACATAACTCCTGCCATATTCCATTGGATTCTATACATAACTCCGGCACTGACAATATTTTAAAAAAAACGCAACCAATGTACGACATAGTACTTTTTTTAATAAAATTCAAATTTTATAGCTGTGGTTGACACATTCAGAAAACACAATATTATTACTATAACACAACAAACAGATAAAAGTACATTTAAAATTACTCAGCTACAATCGCAGTTCAAGTCTTCTTGAACTCTTGGCTAATTCATCTCATCAAGTATCTCATCCGTTAAAATTAAAAATTATCGGTCATATCCTTGACCATTCATAAAAAAATTACAGGCTATGTGTAAATTTGCAAACTTCCGTTAAAACATTTTGCAAGTTTCATCGGCTAAGACAGAAAATTATTTGACAGAAGTAAGTTTCGCAACAATCTTTTCAACAATTGATTTGCTGCAAACATTTATCACTTCATTTTTAATGCATTTTTTAGAAGACGTTTAAGCTTGAAAAATAAAACAGCATATACATAAAAGTTAATGTATGATGTTAACAATGTTTTTAAATTTTAAATCAAATTTTTGTTTATTTGAAATGGTGGGCTGGAATTTTCTAACATTTAGGCCTTTCTTGCTGAAAATTAGCAATATTTTTAATAAATTATTGATACGTTGTAATTAAATTATTGATAATTTGACATATTCCATTACATAATATTCAAAATTTCACGATTTTACTGTTACAAAGCGTTTGGCAACTCTTTTCATAGCTGATGAAAAAGCTGATGTTGCAAGTCAACCAGTTCTATTTATCTGTTGCACGCTTTTTATTGCCTATTGATATGTAGATTTGTGAATTTCCAATTTGTTTTCACCGCAATCCACTTTCGTGGACGGTGTATTTGGTGTCACCCCCCTACCTTTTTATCGAATGGCATCAACATATTAATACACCTATAAAAAGCATCAAGGGGCCTAATGCTAAAAGTAATTCAAGTGGAAAAAATCATTAGTTTTGTAGAAAAATATTAAATTTGGTGTCACCGCCATCCAGTAGTCGATTGACTCTACAAAAACCTTTTCCTTAAGCAAATGGGTTTCTTGCACTTTTGGATAGTTTGTCCATTTTTGTTTTAAGAAAATCATAATTTTAATAATAAAAAAATGTAATGTGTTTAAAATACTATTTTAATGACCCCATTAATTTAAAAATACTATTTTTTCACCAATCTTACAAGCTCTCTACGAAAAGTTTAATATTCATATTGTATTTGGCATCATTGGAAAGCTGGATTTCTCACGGATTTAATAATCGCATTTTCCATCACCTCAGCGGAAGGGTATATAGGTTTTCAGGTTAGGGGGAGCGGCGAGATAAGAAAAAGGCGCCATGTATATATATATATATATATATATATATATATATATATATATATATATATATATATATATATATATATATATATATATATATATATATATATATATATATATTAGCTGTATGACATTGCTTCGCTAAGGTGAAAAATACATTAAAACATTACTCTGTAGAAAACAAAAGAACAAAACACCATGTATGCCGCCAACAAAAAAACAATGAATCACCCAAAACAAAATACAATAGAAATTATACGCACAACACAACCAAAAATAAACCGGGAATGATCTCCCCTAAACTTTCTCGAATATTCTTATATAACACTATTGCAAAAAAAAATTAACTTTGTTTTCCTGTTTCAAAAGCTATGATTCTAATAGTAAAATAAACAACTATAATTATTCTTTAAAGGCGAAGATGCGGAAATTTTAAAAATTCTTGGTTTAATGTACTTTGAGAAGCAATAGTACCACATTTATCTTAAACGTAAACGTAAACGTAACTCTAAATGTAAACTGAAACCTAAACCTAAACAAAATCGAAATCGATAGCGAAAGCGAAAACTATAACTAAAGCAAAAACAAAAACAAAAACAAATATAAAAATAAAAATAAAAATAAAAATAAAAATAAAAATTAAAATTAAAACTAAAACTAAAACTAAAACTAAAACTAAAACTAAAACTAAAACTAAAACTAAAACTAAAACTAAAACTAAAACTGAAACCGAAACCGAAACTCAAACTCAAACTGAAACTGAAACTGAAACTCAAACTCAAATTCAAACTCAAACTCAAAATTGAGCTTAAACTTAAACCTAAGCCTGAACCTGAGCCTGAACATGAACTCCCAAACAAAACGTAAGTTAAACCTTACATTATCTTAGCATTAAGACCAGATTAAGTTTCAACTTGTAACCAACAATGTTGAAAAATGTCCTACTCTCATTTTGGACAGGTTTTCCTTCATGTGGATAATAGATCTTGGCTTTGGGGTGGGGGTATAAAAGAGGTGGGTAATAATTCACAGAGTTGACATCTTTGATTTTGTAGAAGTGTTACATCTTAATAAGGTGACAACTGTTTTTTTTACGAATAATTTTGAATAATTTCGAATGCTCTATTAGCATGCCGTTACTCAAAACGAACTCCTTACAACAGAATGGTCACGGACGAATTTAACAAGCGCTCCATTTGACATATACGGTAGAACCACGTAAAGATCTCTAGGTCCATTTTGTGACAGCCCTACAAGGCCGAGAACTCTTGGGTGCTGGAAATCTTTCATTATCAAAGCTTCTTGAATAAATAGTTCCAAATTTTCAAAATGGGACTGTGCACCTGTTTGTTACAATTTGAAAAGAAATATATTGTTAAATTTTTTTTAAAATATTAGTAGGCCCTATAACATTAATTTATCTTAAAATGACAGTTTAATTGATTTACCTATCATTGTTTTAATTGCAACTCTAACCGCTTCGGAATCTAACTCCGTTTCCAGTAATCCATCATAAACGCGTCCAAAGTTGCCTTTTAAAAAAATATTAAATTGAACACACAAATATATATATACAGCGCCTGCATGTTATATATATATATATATATATATATATATATATATATATATATATATATATATATATATATATATATATATATATATATATATATATATTTATATATATATAGCCTATATATATATATATAGCCTATATATATATATATATATATATATATATATATATATATATATATATATATATATATATATATATATATATACATATACATATATATACATATATATATATATATATATATATATATATATATATATATATATATATATATATATATATATATATATATATATATATATATATATATATATATATATATATATATATATATATATATATATATATATATATATATATATATACTAGCCGTCCCGGCCAGGCCCTGCTCTGGCTTCTGTGAAAAACCTTTCTGTTAAAGACCATTACCTGTGTGTTTAGTAATCATCATAAACCCGGCATTGCCCACCCAAACCACAACCAACCAAAACAACAAAACGCAAACATAACGCTAACACAATTACAAATACAAACGAAAACAAAAACCTAACAACAAACCCAACCACAATCACAAACACAAATACAAACACAAAGAAAAAACATACAAAATAGCAAACGAAAACAAAAACCTAACAACAAACCCAACCACAAACACCATACGAACACAAAGAAAAAAAAACGAAAAAGCAAACGAAAACAAACCAAATCCAAACGCAAAACCAGCCACAAACACAAACCCCAAAAAAAAAACACAAACGAAAAAGCAAACGAAAACAAACCAAATCCAAACGCAAAACCAACTACAAACACAAATGCAAACACAAACCCAAAGAAAAAAAAACACAAACGAAAACGAAAAAAAGCTTAATAATCGACTATAGTACCCCAACTTATTCATAGTCTTTTTGCACTCAATTAAACGAACGTAGGTGCCAAACCAAACCAAATGAACAATTATAATACTCCAAGCTTATCCGTAAAATACCTACAACATTTGCACTTGATCAATCCCCGCTAATTATGTAATTATTTTTTCCCCAACACCAAAACAAAGTAATAAAAAGTAAATTCTTTTCCACGAATGCAATGTTTTATAAAGGGAAGTAATTATGTGTTTTCCTAATTTATCAAAGGGAAGTAAGTGCTAAAGGACTAAACATAAATAATTTTCAGACATAATTAGAATTTTTGTTACTTCTTTAAAATTGTGTTTAATGAACATGCCGACAATTATTACTATCAGTTTGAAAAATGAAAATTATTTCCCAAGACTTTCAACAGTAATTTTTTAACTCATAAATTTAGACTGTTACTACGGTAAATAGTCTAACACTTAAAGCCATAGAACTATGTCAACGACAAACAAACAAAGCTGTTGCATGTTAGGTACATACAGAATTGAGCTTTATATACTCTAGTGGTGCTTTACCAAGAATAAATTTAAAAAATCACCAGAAAAAAAAATATACTAGATATATATATATAAAAATATAT